ACGGAAAACTGTGTCTGCCAGGGACTGCGAGTGGGCCAGGGGCACGTGCACTCAGCAAGGACGGAGACGGGATCCCGAGTGTCAGAGGACCTCTTGCGTTGAATGGGACACTCTAACAATGAGAGGAGATACGAGGCAACCACATGAAAGGGTTTACAACGACACAATTGGGGGGGGGGGGGGGGCGCTATGCCAGTCAGGGCCCAGTACCAACCTACAAACCCTCAGCGTTTCATTCAGGAGCCCGGTAAGTCAATTTAGTGACCCTGTACTATTGTTGGACCCTCTACCACCGGCAAGGGATCCTTTTTACGTTCGTAAGGGGCCCCTGCGTCGATCCAGAGCCAACTGCCGCGGTCAGAAGCCTCCCTCGTCAGGGAGAGAACCGAAGTATGATGTATCATTCTTAGGGCCTCTGCATCGACAATGGGCCCCGGTCCCACTGTCGCCGGAATGACGGCCAGCAGGTGGCAGGTACCTCGGGCGGGACGGAAATTGGCTCCTTAACCCCCGCAACCAAAAGCATATTGTGTTCTTGGGCGCTCTACTTATCGGGCTTCCTGCCCAGAAGAGGCAAGGGCTTTCCTTAGTGTTCGATAAGGCGAATCGAAGCATATTAAACATTGCATTGACCTGGCCGAATAACTACTTGTTTGACGACGTCACCTTCATTTTTACAACAAATTAGTGAAAACATGGTCGCGGCACGCACGAACGCAGCATGCTCATGACGCACAGCTGGGGCACTTGTGATCATAAGCACAGCTTGAGGCACTCGTGATCATGAGCACAGCTTGAGGCAACTCGTGATCATGAGCACAGCTTGAGGCACTCGGGATCATGAGCACAGCTTGAGGCACTCGTGATCATAAGCACACCGCTTGAGCACACTGCGTGATCATGAGCACAGCTTTTGAAGGCACTCGTGATCATGAGCAACAGCTTGCAGGCACTCGCTGATCACGAGCACAGCTTGATGGCACTCGTGATCATGACCGCACAGCTTGAGGCACTAGTGATCATAAGCACAGCTTGAGACACTGGTGATCCTAGGCCAACGGCTTGAGGACACTTCTTGGTCATAAGCACCGTTTGACAGGTCGCTCAGCACGGTACCATATAACAACATGTTTGTTCCATAACGCCCGTCTAGCTTGTACATACACCTACATATTTAAGTTCGTTAAACCAGCATAGGCCTTCAGACTCATAAAAGAGCCTTCGCCATTTACACCGATAGGTCGTAGTGCCGGTAAACGCTAGTCCATTCCGAGCATCAATCTAAAGATTGTACAGCTGAGATGTACAACCTTTACGTAATGCGTCCATTATGTCCAGACTATACGTAATGCGATAGAATTGACTTCGTAGAGCAATCAGAACAATACGTTCTGATGCATTTTCTTTTTCATCCGTCCGCTGGCCGGCGCCTGGTCTTAGCTGCAGAACAAAGCGGCATGGCCTAACGAGACTGCAACGCCTTGCATCGGTGTTTTTGCTCCGAAAGATTGCGAACACTCAGGCTCAAAACTACAAGGGTGAAAACAGCTTTCGGTTTACCAGATATGATCGGTGACTAAAACTGATCCTTGCGAACTAAGTGGTGAAAAGCTGCGAAAACTCAAACAAATTTCACTAGATCAGACCATATTACAACTTACTTTCTCAGCTAAACGAAACTCAAAGCTTAGTATTGGTCTGTGCTCGTTAACAGTTGCGACGTGGGCATATGTAGAACACAAGCCGTAACATTGACGTTTCGCTGTATGGGAAAATTGAGCCATAAGATGCTGCCAATCATAGTAGCTTTAATCAGGATAGTTTTTAGCAGGTGCCAGAAATATACAACAAAATATATTATATCAGTATTGACGTCACAGATCAGCGGTGACACAGTGTTTTTACAATAGAGCTCAGATCAGTGCTTTTCACAGATTGTTCAGCTAAGGTTCACTTCACATACTAAGCAGCATAAAATACCAAATAACTAGGCATATTACTAGTCGTAAGGATCGTAGCTGGCCGCAGTATCTTGCGACGAATGTGACCAGTTCGCTACGCAGCGTTTTAAAGCGTCGCGCCATTTGAGACAGATGGGCTCGAACGCTCGCCACGCGGTGATGCGTTCGGTTCACTGCAAGGCTGTGGGCTGCTGTTAGGTGTATTCACGCCGTGAGAAGCTAACTGGCTGGAAGCACGTACCTAATCGTCAGCTTTTTAATGCAATAGCGTTAAAAGCCCTGCCGATTTAGGAAGATTGTTGTTTGTGGATATCTGGGTTGTAGCTCCAGAGGCAAACGGAGGAGGTTAAAGCGACACATGTTAAATATTCATCCGGGGTTTTCTGCTGCTTACAGTAGCAGCGGCTTTGATTTAAGAGACTGAACATCACTGTTGTGGCCCTCTCACATTGCCCGTTGCACCCCTGGCTTAGCGTACTGATCGGTGGACAGGCATGGGAAAAACGCTTTTTATTTTCATAATGTTGCGTATAAAACTGAATGAGGGTGGTAGAGGTGTTCAAAAATGTTTGTTAGCATCTGTTTATACCAATATTGGATCATGCAAGAAAGTGTGAGTTCTGCACCGGTAACGATCACGCGAAGGTAGTGACGGTCGCCTGCGCGCTCAGCTGATTGTACGATGACGCCACAAAACCAAAGGTGATGTTGTCAGGTGCTTCTAGAACCACGTTTTCGGTAAATATAGGGCTACAGGGCATGCAAGTTTTGCAATATACGCAGGATTGAGGGATGGAAGGTGCGAGCAACAAAAAATGACTGAGCCTGCCTCCAAAAGGCATTCAAAACATTTTTCGCCACAGGTTTGACCCACTTTCTTTTCACACTTGGGAGCCGGGGTGTACTTTCTCGACATTTGTTTCGGGGGGGGGGGGGGGGTAAACCCAAAAACCCTGTGGTTAGTGAAGAATGATGCTTTAAAATGATAACCAAAAAATAGGAAACCACATCCATGATTAGGAGGCACAATCCCGTCCTCATATCCGAACAGGAAACTTCATGCATACAAGCTGGTTGGGTCAAGTATGCCTTTATCTGATAATTGTATTATTTAAGTCGCAACCATCATTCAGTGCTTGATGGCTGGCAAATGATACTTGAATGCAAGTGAACTCCCGAAGCAAAAATGTTTGATGGCTATGCCGCATTCCATTAAATTTGTCTTTGTATTGTGATTTATTGCATCTAGATTTATATGAAAGTGGTCTATGAAAGATATGGCTCCAGGTGACAATTCAGACGGTTCCAAATTTCGTCGGTGACAGAAAAGGCACTTTCTCACCCTTGCAAAACTACTTCGAATATTGTTTTCACTAGTTGGTTCAGAAAAAAGTAAACGATGGTTGGCCATATGTACAGCAAATGTTGAACCCGCTTCGGTGTGCCTTCGTGTTTAATCCACAAGGTTACTCACCACCTATTTCAAACATTGAACAATTCGGTAACCCTGCCTGGTATCGGCACAGCGAATGAAAAAATAAACAATGTAAAATGGACAGCGCCGGCAGTACGCTTGATGCGGTCATTTCGTGCCCATTTCACTCACCTAACTGACTTTTATGGCATTTTCTAGAAGCTCTGGCTCCTTTGTTTCAAATAAAACCCAAAACTTTAAGGAAATTTCCCCTCAAAATAAAACCAACCAATCCAGTAAACATTTTTTATGGGTGGGGCTATTGTACTAATAACCCTCCCAACGGACCCATCAAACGGACCCATCCAAGCGACCTTGACGTCACCAGTTGACACCAACAACTAGGGAGGGAACTTTCAATGCTTCCTAATGTTGTGTAAAACATGACGTTTGTCATTCAGTCGCCGCCTGCGAGTATTGCAAGTGAAATAATGCAATTGCACGACCCGTACGTTGCCAGTGTCCAGCAGTTGTCATTCTTATTTAGTTCATTTATTCGCTGAGGCGAAAGAAATGAAACACCGTGACGATCGAATATATTACTCGAGCTTCTTGCATTGAGGAACGTTAGAGAAACCACACGTGTTGAGCGAATAATAATTTGCAAAGGATGCAATGAAGGGACTCATGCAATGCAGCTTCGTAAAGCGAAGCCTGCTGCTGCAGTAAAGCAGCCCACCCAGTGCTTCGCGGAGTGTGGATATTTGAGCCCCTGGAAGGCCTGGCAGCGCAGGAGCATTGGAGCAGTGTTGACAAGTGGCAGCGACGCTAATTAGGGAAATATGGCATTTGTAGTAGCAACAATCACGGCTTCCTTCATGCTTTTGGAATGTTTTTTGGAAAGCTTTGGAACAGCTTTAAAAAAGCTGTTTCAAACAGCTTCTTTTAACAAAGATAAAACCAAATAAAAAGCAACAAACGATTCTTTTTTAAAAAGGTGTTCAGCTTTGATATGGAGTTTTAAAGTGGAATAGGCTTTTTAAAGACCTTTTGGTGCAGTTCACAGCCCTGCCCTTTTTCGGACCTAAGCCACTCTAGCTTTTAAGCTGCAAAGCCGCAAAAATGGGAAGAGCATTTCGGGGAAAGTATTGTAGTGTCATCATGGCATCATCATATAGTCATTCGAATTCTGCCATTTCATAAGTCATGCAGCGATTAAGGCCAGAAAAAGTATTATGGTCGAGTCTTTCATAACTGGCGTTCGTTAGCGCGATCTCAAGATATAACGTCCGCCAAAATTGGCTCCCATTCCATGTTGTGCAAGGTACGAAGAGGTAATTAAACAATGACGTGTTAAGGAGCATATTTACAAAACAGAGAAACTGTGGTGTCTGTAGCAGTCTCTTCTACTTAGAAGTATGCCAATAGGTATAAGTGGGCTTATTTCATCATATTTGATGCTTTTTCAACACCTTCAAACAGAAACGTTCCCTTTAAGACCTAAGCGAATCGAGTTTCTGAGCTACACACCCACGAATATGTGCAGATTATTTTGGGGAGACTATTTCAAGACCACTCATGCATCTATGGCGTCATCATAACCTTGGTCCAATTCTGTCATTCCGTCAGCCTTGCGGCAAGCAAATCATCAACATGGTTGATGGCGTAATGACAGAGTGATAAGCAACTTGGTCTCCCACGTGAGTGTCCGGGGGCTCATGCTGATAGGAGGACGACGCACGTCGCGTTCCTTTCATAAAGCGAAGATAAAACCGTACCTTGGCAAACCGTCGCTGCAGGTGCAAACATTAGCTCAGCCACACATCGCTTGCAACGAACCACGAGCACACTAATTAGGGATCCCTACGGATGGCTCAGGTTGCAGATGGAATGGGGTTTAACAGGGCTTGAAACTCACCTCCTTTGACTCGACAATTGAGCTCCAGCCTGTCTCCCTCGCTGAAAGTACCCGCCACTGTGTCCAGTATTCGGCCTTGAGGGTCGACTATTCTCACGTGTTCTGGAGCGACTGGGGTAAAAAAGAGCGGCCAGTTAGTTATCAATGACAGGCTGCTGATACACTATTCATATTGCTACATGAAAGTGTCGGACCTCCAATCTGGCTGTTCTATCCACACACCCTCGCTGCAAAGGGCGAGACCGGTTCTCTTTCTGGCTCGCACCGTGTCGCTGTCCATGTAGATACACATGATTGCAGTAGCCGACAAAAAAGAAAACCACACAAATGTTCGACTCCCCGCATATTTCACTGTCTGGCAGCGCCTCAGCCGATGCGGTTTTGTTGTATGTCCATAGGGCCAGATGTTACGCAAACCAATCCATAAGTATTCCTTGATTCTGAATGTCATATTCAACTAGTCCTTGGCTGCCTTGGCGTAGAAACGAGGTTGCATAGCCTGGCAAAAGGAACGCGGTTTTCGTTAGCACATTCATGCGCCTTGTGTTTTTCATAGTGATAAAGATTGGACCAGCGATAGGTAACAGCATCCCGCACGGACAATGAATTGTGTTCAATGCAAAAGTAAAAACCTTAAGCATTAATATTAACGGGCTACGATCCATTGATATTTTCCGTCCTCACATGAGTATCTGTAAAAAGGTTACCGTATACTGCCACCGGGATTCGATGCCGCAGCCAGCTGCTGGGGCTATATGGCGTTGCCGGTCTCTCGCCCTGTCAGAAAGGGCGGGGCCATAGGAAATCGAGCCCCGTGCTTCTACAATGAGCCATTCTCCTGGTTTCCCAGACGCTTGAACTCAGGAGCCCCTCCGCTCCTCCCCCCTCCCCCCTCTCAGGATCCTGGCTCTCACCACCCGATCTGAAATCCCAGGTCCACGGCAGAATTTTGTGGCGGAAGTTTAACGTGTTGGAATGCTCTGCACGATTCGTCCAGCCCTCTGACACCACCTGACCTTTCGTGTACCCGCTGCCCCCGACCGTAGTACATTCCAGTCAAAGACAGGTGGCGAGCGCCTATGTGACTCGAATCCACCCCTCCGCGGGTGGGTGCGCCCCGGGGCAAACGCTGTAATCTACTGAGCTACCGAAACGGCCAAAGTTGGGACATCATATTCATTCGAGTATTCACATTGCCCAAAAGCATAAAAGGACATGTGAATGTCACCACATCTCTTTTCCGTACACTTGAAAGTTACGCGACGGAGCAGAGTTCAGAGGACTTTGCACCGTGAGATGGAGCAACGCGCGGACCGCAACATTCTCGACGAGTCCGGACACAGGACCCTCTCGGGGGTCGAGGGTCACTGCGGCTTCCTCTCCAATGATCGCACATTTGCTGGTGTGTGATCATGTCGCCCGTTTTTTTATGCGAACGACAATCCGCAGTAATCCTGCAATTTCCCAACTAGCCGGTGGGCACCCTCACCTATGACGGTTAGGTTGACCAGGGCGTTACGAGTGCGCGAGTGCTGGAAGTCCACCCGGCACTTGTACAGGCCCTGATCTTGGCGGCTAATGTGGCGCAGCGTCAGCACGGCGGGACGTCGACCTGGCACGAAGTCCACGCGCGACCCGAACACCGAAGTGTTGTGCCACTTCCTCTTCTCCTCCAGCCGGTTCCGTAAATCATAGCTGGGAACAGACGAGTAGGGGCGCTGAGTCAACGTTGGGACCTATGGGTAGACCCGCAACCAACAGGCTGAACGTATGAGGCATCATTAAAGGCATAATTGTAAGGCATAATGATCATTACATATGGATAAAGTGCACACAATGTATAATTCAAGGCATAATTGTCTCTACTTCTTGTCTGTAAGCATCATGGCCTAAGTAACTGCTCATATTTTATATACGGTATGATGCAAATATGATTAACTCAGTTTTATGGACAGGTTGAGACAGATTTTGTGTACCTGACTGAAAAATTATTCAGACCATCGTCTTCGTCTGATGTTAGCTTGTACCCAACGTCTCAGCCAGTGATCTATTCGGTCGTTGTTATGTGTTACGGAGCCCTGAGAAGGACTTAATGGTGCTTAGTCACAGACACATTCGCGTCATAAGTCGAATTCTCTGCTTTTGAATTCCGGGGTTTCGAACCAGGGTCTTCTTGATTCCGAGTCGTGTTCTCTCAAGATGAGCACTTCTCCTTCTCCTAAATGAGCTAACTGGGAGGACAGTTCTCTGGTCTTCGTTTCAGCGCCACACCAGACCTCACAGTCTTACTCCGGATAGTTGCCTTTCTATGCTCTCCCAGTCTAACTGACAGAGGGTGATTGTCTCTTCCTTTTGGGACCTGTCACGGCTACATGGCATGTTACATATGTAGCTTTTTGTGTGGTGTTTATGTGCCAGTGGTCTAACTTTGGAAAGTTCTGTTCGCATCGTTGAGCTGCTTCTAAAGACTACCCTGGTGCATCGTCTACGGATTATTCTGATATTTTCTGACAAGCCCACGCTGTACGGTAATGTTGTCGTCGGCGATGGGATTTCCTGCGGTAGCCCTGCTTTTCGAACATGTTCTTTGGGATTCCCGTCTTTGGGCTTCCGGTCTACAGTCATGAAAGACATTCACAGAAGTCTTCTGCATCGCGGAAATGTCATTAGCGACGATGGTGCAACTACTAGGAAGGAAGTTAACCACCCAACCGAGACGTTTCGCAAAAACGGATGCCCGAGAGGCTTCATAGACAGGAAGCCAAAAGAGCATGCTCGACAAGCAGGGCAGCCAAAAGAAAAACAATAGCGACGATATCATTATCAAACCGCAAGCGTCCGCCAGGACCGATCAGAACAACCTGTGGACGGTGCAGCATCAGGGCAGTCATTAGAAGAAGCTCAACGCTGCGGAGAGAGCCAACCAAGGTCGGACCACCGACATCTAAAGCAGCACACAATGAACTGCATGTACAACATCCCGTGCAGCTGCGGCAGGTCCTAAAAAGAACAGATAGGTCGCCCCCTGACGGTCAGACTGGAGGAGCTCAGAAAAGAAGCCATCCGGGGCGAGATTCTGAAGTTTGATGTTGCAGAACATGCGTGGTTAGATGGCGATCACCAACCAGCACTGATGCAACCGCCTCGACAGAGAGCAACACTGGAAAGTCAGAAAGATCAAGGAGGCAGTCACGGAGCATTGGCTGGTAATCCCATCAGTAAACCAGGTGAAAACTTCATCCGACCATGGCACCCGATTCTGCGGAAAGGTCACCAAATATCTAGGAGATAAATAGTACGAAGTTCTGACACAGAAAGGTTACTTTTCCCGTTCGGATCAGTTGGTGAGCGTTTGATCCATCATGGAGGAGACAAACAACGGTGAGAAAAGCGAGTGCAATATAACTCGCACCCAGGAATCAGAAAATGTCCGCATTGAGCGGAACCACTTGCATCAATGTTGCCATGTGTCACACATCTACTCTCGCTCTGATTTGATCTTTTTATTACGCGGACTAATAGAAATGTCGACGCGACTCTCCACACCGTTTACAAATAGAGCGGTATAGTCTCACAAGAAAAAAACAGCGGGTTCGTCTCAAGGAGATCTCATGATCGGCGATAATTTCTATTGAGCACACTGTGATGCCGGGCTCCACAGCAGTGCCGGCCCGCCGCGCGCAATCGAAGGATTCGTCGGCTGCCGCACGCCGGCCGCGCCGCCTGTAGGTCTCCGAGCGGTGTTCCTAAATAAAGTGGTGTCAAAAGGCGCACACTAAATAACCCAAAGGCTCCTGCTATGTTCAACACAAACATACGACACACCGAAGAAATACCACCAGAAAAACCTTATGGGAGCGGGCTGCCGCCCCCCCCCCCCCCGCCCCTTATCCAAGCGATGGGTGACCATCATTGTCATTCTATTTTATTTATCAGCGTAGTTTCTGGTCTGTTCATCAGTAATTGAATGCATGCATTCGAGAAAAAGCTCGGTACGTTTTGTTCATGGTCTCAGACAACGCCCTTCCAGGCCATCATGCAGTCATTGTGATAAATCATGGGCCCTTTTCTCCGCCTAAACTTTTATCAGTAAAGTACGACAGTGCTGCTTACAGCCCTGACCAGGTTTGTATGCTTGACATTCAGTAAATATAAAGTGCTTATCATGTGCTTCCGGTACCAAAGGGGCAGTTTCCAGCCCTATGTCCAGTGATAAATAGCGCTGCACATTCACTGCAGCGGGTTTGTTGTTTGATTGCCTACCTTGTCGGTAGTTTTTTTCTGTAATGAGCAATGATGTTCATTCTCCTGATATGTCTTTTGACAGTGCGACTTTCCGCGAGCCAGAGTCCTGATGAAATCGCACGAAATTTTGTAATGGCATTGTTAGTAGTGTCTGTAACGGCGGGACATGACATTCGTGATGCATATGAACTTAACAGGGTTCCACTAACAGAAACGGACGAACCAATCCCAATGAATCGCTGGTAGCTGTGCGTGTGCTGCTGTCGCCTGGCGGCCGCGACAGCCAGCGACACCATCACCCCGCGTCGCCCGGCGGCCGTGACAGCCAGCGACACCATCACCCCGTACATTGACGCCACAGGGCCGCACAGCTGGCCTCCGTATCTTCGAGACGCCATGTGCGCCGTTCAGTGCAGGTGGTCTGTGGATCCCCGCACGCGGAGTGTCGTGCGCCGACGTCGGGGATCGCCGAACAACGTGACATGCGCGCGATGGCCGCATTAGTGCTCATTAGCTATGCCGCCAAAGTAAGTCTGCTGGCAGTCAGTCATGTACACGTCCCTAAGAATGCGCTGCCTGCGTGATGGCGAAGCTTTGGCGATGATGATTACAGATGATGTTTAAGTCATCTATCTCGCTAGCTACCGCTTCAAGGGAACGCTTCAAACCAATGCAGGCTGGTTCGACGCAAAGCGTACGAAAATCACGAAACACGTGACATGCTTTACGAGACATAATGCGTTCTATCAATTCGCACAATGTGCACAATAACGTCAGGTCAGAGTAAAAGAAAACGCTTCTCCGCCAAGTGTCACTCTATGACCAACTCCGAACATCGGCCACTAGTGTTGCATGATCTAAGCTGCTTGTTATGTTTAGGATTCGTTTATCTGATTCCAATGGCTTCTAGTGCTAGTACACGATTTCAGGATTCCTTTTTTCTTAATTAGGTCAGCGCAAACAAATTGCTGATCATGAGTTTCCCGCATCTGCTACTGGGGCGTCCTCTCCAGCAGGTGCATAGTAATGCGCCATCACGGAGATGTCACCGTCCAAAAAATGACGAATTTTGGAACCGACAGCCTCCGAGCGGACATATTGGTTCACAGACTTACACACTGGTGCAGCAAGTCGGATTTGGCCTGTTATCACGGTGTATGATTACACGGCTGCTAGGCGTCCTGCTGTTGCAGCAGAAAGTTGTATTTCGGTAATTTCGTCGGCTGATGTGGTGCTTCTGAGCATGTCCTATTGAAATGTGTTCGACCTTTTATGAATTTTGACCTTTGGACATAAGGGTTCTATGGAAAGAACAACAGTGGGCTGTAGAGCTAAAGAATAAACTGCAGTGAGTTGTACAGAATGGAATAAACCAGTGAGTTGAGTTAAGGATTTCGTAAGTTCGTTTTTTTTGCGATCCAGGGCTAACATGATATCTTAATATACAGTGCAATACCCGACTCCCAGTATTATATTTGCATTTCAAACCGTGCATTTCAAGATTCACCAGGAGAACAGGGGAATGTGCTGAGCTGTGCATACTGTGCCGTTGGAAGTGGCGTTGGTTACTGAAAAGTTGCTTGCGCCGTGTTCCAGTTACTGGTGCGTGTTGAATCTCGCTCACGCTTTCTCTTAGGACTTCCATCCACAGCTAGGAAGTCACAAGGTTTGATGAGCAAATGTTTGACGGACCAGAAAACCAATTGGCAGAAGAAAATCAAGATTACGAGTGGTGAATAAGCTGACTAATGGAACAACGTTAAAAAGCTCTTTGAACTAGCAAATATCATCTGCCTGTGGAATAATTGAGGAACTCCTGCCTTTTCGGTCGCAATCGGACACGCCTGATCTAGTTACGTGGCAGTGTAATTAAGTTCTGACCCAGTTGGCATTCGTTCAGTCTTCTTTCAGTCTGTGAGAACGTTACACAAAAGAACATTTTCCATTTCTAGTCAAAACATATATGTCTATTAAGAAATAAAATCGTCTTTATGCAATTAGGCAAACGAAACACATGTTGCCGTCCTTACAAGCGTTATAATTCACCTCGCCACACTGGCATCTTCACCAACTGTAAGCCTGCATAATGGGAATGAGCTCAACCGCATTAAGCCTTGCACTCCAACAAACTATGTTGAGGACCACACACTACGGCGTAAACACGGTACCAAACTTGACAACTGTTGAACCTACAAGCACACTGCTTACCTTGGACCTCGAAGCTCTCCAGGATTAACATCCACCAACACCACGTCACAGAGCGCTGTTACTAACATCCACCAACACCACGTCACAGAGCGCTGTTATTAACATCCACCGACACCACGTCACAGAGCGCTGTTACTAACATCCACCGACACCACGTCACAGAGCGTTGTTACTAACATCCACCAACACCACGTCACAGAGCGCTGTTACTAACATCCACCGACACCACGTCACGGAGCGCT